GGTCACTTTAACACACTCAACTCCTGTTGTCATCAGGTTTCCACCCACATGGTCACTGACACACACAGAAACTGACGCCACCAGCAGGTCGTCACTGACACCTCTCACACACCATCAGTAAACGCCGGAAGGGCGACACTAACCGGCACGCTGAAGTGGACTCCATCGTATCTGTAGATCTTCTGTGAAACCTTTTTCAAGGCTGGATCCACAATCAGCTTGTAGCTCCTCCACTGGACATTGAGGGCTCTCTGTGTGTCTGCCCCGCTGTCTGGATCCATACTCACTCACTGTTGAGCACAGGGAGGGAGGAACAATGCTTCAGTGAGGAATCCCTGACCCTGGTTAGTAACACATTAGCATAACTCATTGGTCCCCCCAAGGCTCACTGTGAGCAGCACTGAAGCGATTATCAACAACAAGCTCAACACATGCAACCGTCTTACCCAATAAGATTCCCGTTCTCCCTGCCCTGCCTACGCCAACTGGCTCAACAGAACTCACATTCTTATATCTCAGAAGAAGTGACAGAAAATTCCCCAAACAGAAAGGCGTCTGATATCACCACCATTCAGGATAACACTGATGCTGTCACCACCACCACCACCGTCGCCCGCGGCTTCACATCCACACCAGCGCTCCCCGCGGCATCACCCCCACACCCATGCTCCCCGCGGCATCACCCCCGGCATCACATCCACACCAGCGCTCCTCGCGGCATCACACCAGCGCTCCCCACGGCATCACTACCACACCAGCGCTCCCTGGTATCACACCCACACCCCTGGCATCAAACCCACACCAGCGCTCCCCGCGCCATCACACCCAAACCCCCGGCATCACAACCACACTCACACCACCAACACTGCCCCCAGTATCGCATCCACCCCACCACTCCCCGTGGAATCACAACCACACCCACACCACCGCCGCCAACCAAATAGCACAATAACAACAGAACTACCCGTCCGGCACCACCAATCCAAAAAGCACAGTAAGAACAGAACCACAGGTCCAGCACCACGACCCAAACAGCACAATAACAAAAACCTTACAGTCCGACACCACGACCCAAACAGCTAAGTAACAGGTTATCAGCTAAGTAACAGGACCAGTAGTCAGGCACCATTGACCCAACAAGTAGATTAACAACAGAACTACCCGACCGGCACCAACGACCCTAACAGCACAGTAACAATAGGACCACCCGCCCAGCACCACTGACCAAATAGCACAATAACAACAGAACTACCGGTCCAGCAGCACCGACCCAAACAGCACAGTAACAACAGAAATTACAGTTCGACACCACGACCCAAAACGGCACAGTAACAACAGAACTTACAGTCTGACACCACGACCCAAACAGCTAAGTAACAACAGGACCAGCAGTCAGGCACCATTGAC